GAATGTGATTTCGGCACTTGGGTTACTTTGGAAAAATATGAATAGCATGTGTCTGTGTGGCTATTTAGCAACCACCGTCGATGGTAATACCAAGTTGTTAGGGTGCTGAAATTAAAACCGAGTTGTCCTTAATTTTGTAATAGTTTTTGTCATAGTTGAATGTAAATATTTGTTAAAATCATGGTGTTGGAATTATTAAGCTATATTTTATATTTTATTATTTATATTTTATATTTTATTATTTATATTTTATATTTTATTATTTATATTTTATATTTTATTATTTATATTTTATATTTTATTATTTATATTTTATATTTTATATTTTATATTTTATATTTTATATTTTATATTTTATATTTTATATTTTATATTTTATATTTTATATTTTATATTTTATATTTTATATTTTATATTTTATATTTTATATTTTATATTTTATATTTTATATTTTATATTTTATATTTTATATTTTATATTTTATATTTTATATTTTATATTTTATATTTTATATTTTATATTTTATATTTTATATTTTATATTTTATATTTTATATTTTATATATTATATTTTATATTTTATATTTTATATTTTATATTTTATATTTTATATTTTATATTTTATATTTTATATTTTATATTTTATATTTTATATTTTATATTTTATATTTTATATTTTATATTTTATATTTTATATTTTATATTTTATATTTTATATTTTATATTTTATATTTTTTATTTTATATTTAGATTTATAAAATTTAATTTTTTGGCTATTTTTGAGTTATTTTTATTTTATATAATATTATTTTTTGTATAATAATGATGCTTCATAATTTTTGGAGTATTTTTAGTTTATAATTATGATTTCAAGGGTGATGACAATAAATCTATTAATTATCCTTTCCTATATATAACATTATGTAATTTAATAACTCTATTTAATCCGATTTACTTATTTTACATAGTGATAGTCATAATATTTAATATTTTTATTACTATACTAGTATTATAACAATTATTAAAAAAAAAATAACGAAATACGAAATATGAAACAAAATATATCAATACAATTATATAGAAAATTTATCAAAATTAAATACATCAGAAAAATTAAATATTTATATTCAATAAACTATATATTAAAATATTGTTGTTGATCATTTGAATATTAAAACATTTTAACTGACGTATCCTCTTCATTATTTTGGTCAGGGAGGAGTTCAATCCCTATTTAATTGAAATATAAAATTTCTAGTAATAATCACTAGGGGTAACCGCTCTATATATATATATTATTAGTTACAAAACATGTAAGGAATATATTTCACAAGTCACTTTCTGTGAGAATTATCTTTCTTAGATATAAAAAAATAATTTCCAAGTTTTCTAAATACCTCGCCATTCTATATTTATCTATTTAATATAAGTAATAATATAACATAATTCTGATTTACATAAGATATTAAAGTAGGGTATCTTGTAGCGAAATATTTATTCATAACCCGCAGGATTATTTAAATTTTTTGAAACTTATAATTGTTTGATATTAGATTCTGACAAAGAATAATTGGGTGATGTATGAAATGGCCAAAGGAACAAAATAAGAAATAGTTAATTTGGTACAAATGTAGAATGATGAAATTTTTTTGGATTTTGGGTAATGATTTGGGATTTTATTGATTATGGAAAATATTTATCAAATATGTAGAGTCATCTGGTATTAACAAAGTGGTAAATAGATTCAAATATGAATTTTGGATAATTTATGATAATTAATTTGGGGATTTAGGTGAAATAGTGATGATATATAATTAATTTTGGGAAATTGATTACTCAGTAAAAATTGAACATTATGGAAAATAATATTATGAAAACATGGATACTAATGATGTAGTGATATTTACGTAGTAATTAGGTTTATGGATTACTATGATAATTTGGACATTGGGGAAAAGATTACTGATTAAGGAACCTTGCTAATTTGGAAATTGGGAAAATGCTACTAAGAACCTGGAATTTTGACATTGGGGAAATGATTACTGATAAAAGAACCTGGTTATTTAGACGTCATTAAATTACGTTGGGACTCTGGAATATCAGCCATAGTCACCATAGAGCTTAAATATGAGGATGAGTGGAGGTATGAATTATCAACTCTAGTCACCACACTCTAATCAGAAGATAATTAGAATTGATGTTGTACATCGAAGAAACTCGGGAGTAGTTTCCCAGCAGATTTAAGTTAAAAGGGGATATTCTATCGATGAGGCCCATCGAGAGTGACAGGTTATGATGACTACTCAGTTAATGGTAGTAAGGTGGTGTGTGGGATCAAGTAGGAATTGGTGATGGTAGTCACATATACCTCATTGTGGTTCAAGCGAAAACGAATCATTCAAGGACTGTTTAGCGCCTTGTGGACTATCCACGTTGGTACGATATGATTTTTGTGTAAAGAAAGTTTGAGAATTATTGATGGAAAGTATGGAATAGGATGAGGATGTTTATATATGTCTGATTGTATAATTATGATATTGTTATCGGATTAATTCTGATTAAATGGTTTATTTGATTGCAAAAGTTACACTTATATATAATTAATTCAGGCTCTCATTATCTTCAATTTAGAAAAATTTTGTTTCTGATATAAATGTGCTTTAGCAAATAATCTAAATTTCTTATTTCACCCCGAAGCTTAAAATAATTTTTATTGATGACTAATTTCCATTCAATTGTGTTGAAGCTGGCCCTACTGGAAGGCATAGGAATAGAAATGCATCTAATTTCGCTAGTAAAAATATTGTTCGACAATCATAAAGTGGTATCACAACATCTGAACATAAAATCACAACCATTTAAGGCCAACAGAGGGCTGAAACAAGGTTGCATTCTATCACCTATGTTATTTATTGTAAAATAATGAACAATATTCTGAATCCTTTAAACAAGAATATGCTCTTAACCCTCGCTATCTGGATAAACAACGTGATAATAACATGCACACTCTGAATTTTCTATGCTATGCCGATGATGTATGCATATTACCAAACTCTACTAAGAATTTACTGTCATTGTTTGTTAATAATTGCTACGAATACGGATTAAAAGTTCATTACTCGAAAACTAAGTTAATCGCGTCCAATACATTTGCATCTAACACAGACCCCTTTAACTTTGATGATAATGTGGTAGAAACGGTTTCAGATTGTAAGTACCTAGGAACCAGGATAATGTCATTAGGCACCACAATATTGGATACGAAGTTGAGGACAAACAAAGCGAGATCCCGATACCATCAGCTGACGAAATTAAGGTCGTCCAACTAGATATTCACGAACCAAAAGATAAGACCCTTCAAATCCATAATTCTACCCATCTTAACATACGGATTAGAGACGTGGCAGGACACCAAATGCAATATTAACACATCCAAGACCTTTATAAACAAATGTCTATGAAGAACTACTAAAACTTACTACCCATAAAACACTTCCACAACTCTCTGGAATCGACTCATTCCTTTGAGGAGATTAAAATTAATTGGTCATTGCTTAAGACATTCACGAAAATATGATACTTTTGTCCATGAAGTAGACCCCAGATTATGGGAGGCAGAGAACTCCCAAAATACTATAGGCTGAAATGTCTGAAGGACATGGACTTGATCAATCTTTCGTTTACAGATTTTTTGGCACTCAGCAAAAAAAAAAAATTTTAAAGGAACATCTACAATACATGTTTAAACATGGTCTAAACTAGAAAATCGTTAGAAACTATTAGACTATTCTCGCACAGGCTAATTTCCAATTCTCTTCTCCCGGGTTGAATGACAATTTATGTTTCAGCACATGTTATATTCGAATTATGGATAGAATGAAATAGGATGAGGGTGATGACAAATTTTTTATCTCCTACCCCCCCCCCCCTTCCCTTATAATTTTTCTACTGGTTGAACGATATTGACGAAGGCAATGATAATTATAGAACCGTGAATAATGTTAACGATTCACGTTTACTATACTATAATAATGATAAAGTGATAAACATAATGAGGATCCTGAGCATTGCTTGCTTAGTAAAGACAAGGATTTAGGCGGACACACAATATTGACGCTAATGAATGACAAAAATTAATGAAGGTAAAAAGAAGAAGAAAAGATGAAAAAATCAAACAAAACGATCTTAAACTCTTTAGGATAATGGGTTTCAGGGGCCGAGGTAATAATTACAGGAAAATTGGATGCCTCTGGAATAGTACATGCTGTATAGACACAGCGTTATCTTCCATGGATCTATATTTACCTAACTTATGACTTACTGTTTTCTTCTCTTAAATATCTAATCAGGCGTCATGTACATTATTATTAATATTGGTTACAATTTTTTTTTAAACATTATCTTCCCGGTAACATGACTAATAGATCCTTACTCCTCTCTTCTTTACTATGCTGGCTGACTACATAGTGGTACCGTCCACTATAATAAAACGGGTGTACATCATGTATAGGATCTATAAACTAGTGAATATACATGGTGACGATACAACTCCTGGTAGGTGATGATGAAATTGCACGTCTGTCGTGGTAATGAATGAATGAAATACTACACTTTTTTATTTATCGCTATTCTGGTTTTCGCTCTTTCGTATTGAATTCCTCCTTACGGTGATTATTACAAACTTTATATGGAAGAATATGACTTAACAAATAAAATGGAACTACTAATTCCTTCTATATTAGTGATGTCTGATTTAAATATTCTTAATAATCAAGATTCAAGAACAGATAAGATTTATATTTCTTTATAATAATCATTACGAATTTTCACTATTACAATATCGGAAAGGGTAAGTTCCACTCATTTTTGTTAAAATACAACTGGGTACAAGGTTTGTCGGTATCCTTGAGAAAAAATCGGCATAATTTTATGAAGGGTGGGCCTTCATAATATTCACGTTCGCTCATATTGGGCAGGTCTATGACCAACGTGCTAGATAAGATGATAATTGTTAGATCATAATTTCTTGAAATGGTCTCAAAATTCGCAGGGATTGTTAGGATTACTGACTTAGATGATTATATTTTGCCATCACAAGTTTGTATAGCTATCTTGATATCAAATAGAATTTTAAATATAGGAATGCATAAAACCAATTATAATAGAGAAGAATGAAGTCAAAATAAAAACTATTAAAATTAAAGATGGCAAATATTTACAAATTGACAAGGTAACCTAATTCTTGTTTATTATAAGTATGATATAGCTCTAATGAGGGATAATATATCTCTAAATGATAGCATAACTGTATAATTTAAGATATTTTGTATAAATACTTGAGCCGTATCATGGTATTTCATGATTGCTAATAAGGAAATATTTCAATCTTAATAATAAATATGAAAATTATATTAATATATAAAAACTTTATGAATATTTATTTTAAATACTATATCTAGTAATAAATTTGGACATTAGAATAAAACTTTATTCAGGAATAGAAAATTAAACATATAGATATATATACACAAATAATTTATTCAATTAAATTATAATATAAATACAAGATAATCTCTTAAAACATATGTATACAAATATTTTTTAATCATATTATTAAATATTTGAAGAACTTTTTCACCATTTTCTATTGATATTTCTAATGGTTCTTTGGAATTATTCATAGTGATGGTATAGAAGATTTTTAATACTTCAGATTAAAAAAGCTATTGGTTAGGTATACTAAACCATCTATCCCTTTTTCCATTGAAGGTAGAAATAATCTTGATAAAATATAGCTTTTTAAAGTTAATTATAAATTTTAGGAGATGGCTTCTTATTTATAAGATTCAATAATTTTTCATCCAATTTTTAGCTCAAAGTAACAATTTTAATAATCTTACCAGTATCAAAATTACTTTGGTTTACCTATTTGCAGACCCATAATTTTTACCAAGCTTAATTTTATTAAGCTGTTCTTTGTAATTTATAATTTTTTCTTTAATATTGGCATGATTTATCATACCCTGGTAATTCTTCTAGCCTTAAATAAATATAAGCTTACTCATTTATACTTATATGTATACCTAGATCCTATAATGGTCAAATGTTCCATTACTATCATAGACTTCTTATGATCAAGATGTCCCTGGTACAAGAAATTTCATCAACTTCTAAATAATATAGAAATTTTTTGGTAATGGCCAGACGCGTAAGCAATGGAGGGAGGGGGAAGGGGAAATTTCACCCCCCATTGCAAATTTAACTGTTTTCCTAAATATTATTTTAAGCTAATAAAAATTTTACCATCATTCCCCCCCCCCCCCGCCACCCCCTGCCCCGTTTCAATATCAAGTAGAGTTTATCCTTACTGCTAGTTGCGTTAATAAATTATTTTCCTATAGCTCACTACTATGTAGAAATTTACAAAAACCAAATTTCGATTTGGAAGTTATTGATTTGTAGGAAAATGTGAACAGGAAGAATGAATGTAGATGAATATTTCATAATATTTATATAGACATTGAATCAAAAATTAAATCTTATAGAATATTATAAAATATCCAATTTCATCCCATTCTTAGATACTTTTTTATCCCAAATTAATGTACGGTTTTTAGATAAAAAAACAAGTCTTTGGTAATCTTCAAATTTTATTACCTAAAGACCCTTCTTCGTTTTCTGGTGCTATTATTGGTAAAATTAAATATTTAGAAGAATTTTATTCCTATGATATTGATACTGAAATTAATTTAATCAGTGAATTCAAATTGTGTATAAATATTTACTACATTTATTATTTTACCTGAGCATGCTATTAATGTGCTCAATTGGTATAAGAAAACCTTGGCTTAATTTCCAAATTTTTTGAAGGTATTTAATATTCCTGCATGTTTGAAAATTACAACATATACTAATGAAAGGACCTTTTCCAAATTGAGAAGGTTGAAAACTTATTTACCACAAACTACTTCCAAATCTTGGCTAAATGGGTCAGCTCTGTTAAATATCCACAGAGATTTGATTCCAAGACAAACGAAATTTTTCATGAATTGGCAAATTTCCTACGAAAATTAAAAATCGCATTATAATTCTAGTATTTAATAAATTTTTTGTATAATATTGTATTTGATAATAAGTTATAAAAACTTGTTAAAAATTTTCTAGTCAATATTTATACACACTACAATTAGTATTTTCAATAAAAAAATTTATATTCTATTTATATTATATGAGAATTTAAGTTGAAACTAGTTTTTAAGCCAATTTTATAAAAAAAATTGACACTAAACTTTATTTCAATTTATATTTTAAAATTTTTTTTATTTATAATATACCTATCTTAAAATAAAAATTAGTTTATAAAAGTGCGAATTAGTAAATAGAAGCTAAAAATATTAATATAATTATTATTGAATTATGAATAATTTAAAAGAATAGCTCAAAGATATGACCTGGCCGAAGATAAGGGAAAAGCTGGCCAAAGGGGGTTTTCCACCTATAGGAAAATTATGGATACACAACTGGTAATGGCATTATGCCCTAAAAATATAAATATATCAATTCACATTTTAAAAAAATGTCAATTTATAAATCAAATCTTACATTTTTGAAGTAGTATCCATTTATTCTTGTATCAAAATCCAAATTATTATAAAGACAAGTTTCCAAAAAACCAAACCAAGTTTCGTTTTTATTGGAAATGGAAATGTGCCCCAATTTAAGCTAATGCATTGAAATGCATTATTTGCATTTGCAATGCAACATTTGAAACACTCAAGTGAGCACTATAATGGAACACTTGACCATTATTGGGTCTTAGTATAAATGTAAATAAGTATGCTTACATTTATTTAAAGCTAGAAGAAGAATTCCCACAGTATGGTACTTCATGCCAAAGTCTGGGAAAAAAGTTTAAAATTACAAAAACCAGCTTAATAAAATTAAGCTTGCTAAGAATGCTGGGTCTGAAGGATCAAAGACCTCTTATAAATGGTTAGAATATTTAAAATTTATGTATGATTGCTGACAGGCCAACCACTAGTAATTTCGATACTAGTGAGAGTATTAAAAGAGTTAACTCACCCTAAAGCTAAAAATTTTTAATGAAAAACTGTTGAATCTTATTAATAAATAAACCATCTCCAAATAGGTAAAATTTATAATAATCTTAAAAAAGCTTACATTTAATCAAGATTATTGATGGCTTTAGTATGCCTAACCAATAACTATATAAATTGGTCTAAAATTCTTCTACTCCACAGAACCACTAGTAGAACCATCAATAGAAAATGGTGAAACAGCTCTTCAAATACTTAATAGCATAATTAAATAAGTTATTTGTATATATTTGTGTAAGAGATTATCTTGTATATATATATATATTTTTTAATTCATAAAGTTTTTATTAATTAATATATTGTCCTATATTAATTATTCAAGATTGAAAAATTACATTAAAATTAAACTTATTAAAATAATATCTTTGATAAATAACTCATTAACTAGACGGTTTTTTAATCATACATTTTGTCAAATAAATTCTGGGATTTTAAATTATAAGGTGATCAGACTAAAGATTTCAGAATTTAAACACAATTCCATTTTATTATATAAAATTATTTATTAAGTAATATTATTCTAAATAATAACAATAAAATTACATTATTTGATAAAATAAACATTAAATATAAGAATGATATATATAAAAAAAATAATTAAGAGTTTAAAAAATTTTTTAAATTTGTTTATTAAAATTCTCGATTCAATTGTTGATGGGTTATTTTGTCCGCTGACAGAGAATGCTCTACTGGTCAAGTTGGGCATTGTATCTTTTAGATATAAAGAAAATATAAGACCTGTGTCATTAGCATCAGCAGCTATTCCTTCATTGCTTATAGGCATATTGTTTTAACAATTATCAATATGAGCCTTAAAAGTTCAATTTTTTTTTACACAATACCTCCAAAACTATGTTCATCATTAACATGGGCATGTGATAATCTCATGTTATATTCTCTTTCCTCTCTAAATAGACCATTTTTAGGATAGGGTTTCACACCATAACATGAGGCATATTTTTCATTAAGGCCAGGGAATGGTTTGGCAAGTGGTGGATTATGAGTCTGGTCAACAATTTTTGTACATTATTTTTAAATATGATTGATTTGATTTAATGTGAGTTAAAATGAATTATAATCTGATTTCTATACAATGACATAAATACTCCCCTCATCACTCTGCTTTTCATAAGCCCCAACATCATTAAAATAGGAATTTTCTATTTATGTCTGTTAAGGCTAACTAGACTAATGTAAATCTATCTTTGTAACAAAAAAAAATTAAGATCCACTATTTGGTTGAAGTTTTATATAGATATGTTTTACATCCAAGGCACCGAAACATTTGGGGAACCCTGAATGAAGCAGGAACTCTTGGAGAATTTTAATAATTATATATTTAAATTCCTAAATTTAATGTACTCTTTTCCTATCATTTCTTGAAGGCTTTGGCATTTAAATATCTTTAGCAGCATTCCAAATTGCCTTGCATACTGATTTAACTATGTATGCAACACAGGATTTGAATTTCCTTGAACTATATGATAATTATGAGAAAGACATACCAGAGTTAGTAACTTCAGGGTTGATATCATCATATATCATGCTAAGAATATGCGAGAATGTTGTTCTTTTCATTCTTGTATAATCAAAGAACTGAGATATGTTGTTAGAATACCTTTCAGTGAAACGTACTCAGAGAATAATTGTCTTTTAATTATCTATGATGTTTTCCTTCTTATATGTGTTAGTAATAAATATAATGCCAACATCTTTCCTTCATCCATGTTAATAAGCTCCATTTTTAATTTAAAAATGCCGCCTCAATTTAAACGAAGCAAGCGTTACGTTTTTTTAATATATTTATTAAAATAGTACGGTTAAAAACGCGAACGCTCAATTTGCGCGCACTATTAAATCTTATATCGCGATTTTTTTTATCGATTTAAGAAAGGCAAAGAGAAAGAATTGGAAAAAGCTAAAATAACTCTTAACGATTGTCTGGCATGTAGCGGCTGCGTAACATCCGCGGAAACCGTACTCATAAATCAACAAAGTGTCGAAGAATTATTCAAGATAGCTGAACAAAATGCACACTCTATTTTGGTATACATTATAATAATACATATACAGTGTTGTTAACGGCTCGTTTCAAGTCGATTTTTAAAAAACGGCTGACTCAATGGTTAATATAGAGAAGTATCATATTCAAGTCGGAAGATTTTGCTCATAGAAGGAACAAAGGTTTAGACATATATATTACCCAAATCTCGAGGCGTAGTCAATATTTTTCTAGCTAAAATCAAAACGAGCCGTTTAACAATAATATATATATATAAATTTTATATTAATATTATTTATTTTTCTTTAGACCAATAATTTTGCCGATTACAGGCCTATTTTGATATCGTGTTCTCCGCAATCATTATCCTCGTTGGCCATTCATTATGATTTGACTATAACTGAAACGGCGAATGCTTTGAAAAGCTATTTCCAAAAACAATACGGTAAAGTTTATTTGTATATTTTGATAATATAATCATTTTCGTAATACTAATTTAAAGGTGTCAAATATTTTTTAAATACCACGTTCGCTCGGAATTTCAGCTTATTAGAATCAGCCAAAGAATTTTTGAGGGTATATAAAACTAAGGAAGCCAACGATGATCAAGTCACTATTCGTAATAATAATAATAATATTATAAAATGTGAGAATTGTCATGATACCCCATTGAAGCTGCCTATCATAACTTCTATCTGTCCTGGATGGGTGTGCTACGCAGAAAAAAGCTTGGGAGAAATTATAATACCGCACATGAGTAAAGTCAAATCGCCTCAGCAAATTTTTGGATCGCTATTAAAAGATTTGAACCTGATAAATAGTAAAAATATCTCTGGCGAACATTCCACAAATTGGTATCACGTATCCATTATGCCATGTTACGACAAGAAATTGGAAGCATCACGACCCGATTTCACTCATTCTTTTAACCAGGACGCTACGAATATCCGTGATAACCAGGAATTTATGTCGCACAAAGATGTCGATTGCGTATTATCTACCATCGAAGTCAAGGAGTTGTTGGATAGCCAAGACATAAACCTTAAATCCTTATTAGCCCAGATAGCATCTCCTCCAAATGACAAAAATGATCTCACCAGCGACGAACCCGGCAATGACTTGGCTCATTATCTGCTTTCGTTCGATTACACTCATCAGGGGGGTGGGTCAGGGGGTTACGCGGAATTCGTGATCGGATACGCCCTCAAACACAAATGGGGCTGCGAGACTTACGAAACGCATTACGCAGATGATTCCAAAAATTCTTTAGTCGGAACCGATTCCAGTGATCGTCATAAATACCGGGTCGAAATAAGAACTTTAAAGTAAATTTATATCTTTTTTTTTACCACACGGGTCATCCATGTTAGATTCTCCTTTATTGTATTTTTTTTTAAAAAAAAGATTTGAATTTTATTTGAAATCCTTCATAATATAAATAATCAGAAATTTGCATAATCTTAGGGTGGGCCTCCGTGTAATTTGCATGCGCTAACTTTGTATCAGGGCAAGAAAAGATTTTTAAAATCTTGGCGAAATATCTTATATAATTTATCTTGGGAATGGACATTATATGTTATTTAAAACGATAGTCGATGATATTTATTTAGGAACTAAGGTTTTTTCTTTAGCCTTTGCCGCCATTCGTCCACGCTTCCTTTTTTGATCGTGGATGTTCGCCTAATTCTGCTGTATTGTTTGTATTCGCGAATTAGGTTTAACCGTGAATGACGAGTTAGACGTTGTGTATTAATAGGTGTTCAAAAAAATTTAAAAATAGTTTATTTATCTATTTTCATTAAAAGTTTTGATATTTTGGACGCAGCCCTTAAATCGAAATAATATCCTATCCTCCAAATTGTTTTTTTCTTTAGGAACAAAGATATGCGGGAATTAAAGTTGATCGACACATCTACAGGTGACATCTTGTTGAATTTCGCCCAAGCATATGGATTCCAAAATATTCAAAACGTCGTTCAGAAAATCAAAAGATCGAATAAATGTCCTTATCATTATATCGAAATAATGGCGTGCCCTAGTGGTAAGTTTTATAAATTTAAAGAAAGAAAGAAAGAATGAGAAAATAAAGAATAAATAAAAAAGGAAAATAATAAATTTTTTTTAACCAACATTACAAAATATAGGTTGCCTAAACGGGGGTGGTCAGATACGGATCGAGCAGACGACAAACTCGCGGCAAGACAAACTGAATCTATTTAATTCGGTTGACGCCATTTATCATTCCGTGCCTAATGTAATCACTGACCCTTATAATCAGATATCCTCTGTCAGGGATATTTTAAATTCTGATTTATTGGCCAAACAAGATAGCTGTGGTCAGAAACATATGTTCTTCACGGAGTATCACCCGGTTCTCAAAGATGCTTTAACCGCTTCCATGCTTATCAAATGGTGAAATGGTGGAGTAAAAATGAAAATTCCTAGAAAAAACTTTTCGTAGAATAACGCCGCGAAATTCCATTTCGATCGCAAGTTTCTAGCTTTTGGGGTTTTTTTTTCTCGAAGTTATCGGATAATTTATTTTTACCCGCGAATAATTATGGAAAACGCTTATTATATCATACCATAATTGTATAACTAGTAAAAAGTGTATATTAATATATTATCAATTTTTTATAAATAAAAATTTTTTCCCCTAATTACTCATGTTCCTCCTTTATCTCGTAAAGTGTATGTGTAAATAAATTTTATTTATTAATTAAAGATGCTCAATTATCTAATTTTCAAATCTTTGCCAAGAAACTGGAAATTTATTGTTCGTACATTTTCGTGATCTGGTGGGCCCATATTGTTTATACATATTTTATATTATGATAGTTTTAAAAAAAATAATATTTTCTAGATTGGGTCATAACATAATCATTATGCAATTTAAAGAATAAAGAAACAAAAAGAGGGAAAGATTAGAATATTTTTATCAGAGATCATATTTTGATTTTTTAAAATTTAACCAGGCCGGGCCTGAAAATTTTTTTTAAAAGAAAAGCCAGGGTGAGCCGGGCCGGAAATAAAAATATATAAACCGGGCAGGGCCGAATATTGTTTTTTAAAATAAATATCCAGACCGGGTCGTGCAAATGCTACCTCTGCAGGTCTATATATTATTTGCAAAGCTCTGTAAAAAAAATTATGTTTTTTTTTATATCGTAATATTTTTTCGTACTTTATATAACGTAGATAAAATAATTATATTTAGTTGCACAAATTTGGGAAAATTACTCATTTTTCCTAAAAAATAAAATTTGTATTACAAAATAAAATTAAATGAAAATAAATTAAGAAAAATTATAAATTAAATACTGGGAGTGTGCAAGATTTTATTAAATATTTAACTTTAATTTTTTTTAAACCTTTCTAAATAAAAATTTGTTTGAAAATATTATTATATACTTTTATTAAAATAAAAATAAAATTAATTTTATCTTGATATATTATAATGTATAAATTGTTATCAATATTCTACACAGTGTCTCTTATCTTCTGCGATTCTCAGGGTAAAATTATATTGATTTATATTTAAATTATTCATTATATAACGGCTTATATAAATTTATCATTAAGAGATATGATAATTTTTGCAAAATATTTGTTCTAAATTACATTAAAAAGAAACAGAATAAAATGAATAAACAGAATAAACAGAATAAACAAATTGCTATATGTAATAATTTAGTATATCTTGAGATGTGTTAACATTATTATTTGAAATTATCTAACTCCTCAGATTTCTGGATTAAAAATTTGGCCTGACATTAAATAAATGAAGCATGAAAATTTAAAATATTTTATCTTTATCGAATGTGTTTTTTATATTATAGTTTCTTTATAAATGATATTTTTAATATAAAAGAATAGCTGTTAATATAACTCTAACTACATTAGTTCCCTATTCCCTTATTGATGGATACTAATTATTTACTTAATTATTCTGTTGTAATGACATTTTTTAAACTATTTTGTATCATTTCAAATATTAGGAATTTTATAAAGATAATTAATTTTAGTCATTTTCGTAAAAATAAGAAATGGAAGATAATTCCAAATTAAAATAAGTATATTAAAATATTGGCAATTCAAATTATTATAAAGTATCTTCTCATTTGTAACTTAAAGAGTCTGTTCAACTGAGACATAAAAAATTGTTATTATAAATTTCGCCAGCTATCATTTACTGCTTCTTATCTTTAAAATATCAATTTAAGAATAGCGTTGCCTTACCTTTTTTTTAAATTTATAAAAATTTGAAAAAAAAATGTAAACAATTTACTAAATAATTATTATGTCAATAAACGTTAGTTTACGAATTTGTTGAAACTTTTTCCCTTTTAAAAAACGAAATATTTACAAAATTAAAATAATATTGAAATAAAAAATAATTTAGTGGAAATTTTTCGGAAACTTGCCGGGCAAGCCCTAAGCCCGGCCAGGCCCGACTGTAATCTAATATTTTTAAATATACCCGAGCCTAGCTTAAAATGATCTTTTTTAAATACCCTGCTTGGGTCGTATATTTTAAAGCCAAATATTTTAAATCGCCAATTAACTATAAAAGTTAGAAATAAATATTATATATATTTCAAAAAAACCGGGCCGGGCCTGATAATGAAAAAAAACCCTGATCGGGCCGAAAAAAATCATCCGAGCCGGGCCGAACATGGTATCTCTGCAGGTCTTTAAAATGTATTTTAAACTAAATACACTACACGTTTGTAAAGCGAGACGCGCGTACTTTTTACGCGCAAATAATTCGAAAAAAATGTTGCTTAAACGCCTTTATTATAGGCTAATAAAAAAAAAGAGAGTTGGAAACAAAACAAAAGCCTCCATCCGGAAACTAACAATTTTAATTTAATTACTTTAAGGGGGTGAGAGGTGGCGAATTTTAAGTTAAATTTCTTCAGCACAAGCCTTAATGATTACCCAAGACCTGTATAGGTACCATTTTGTACCGTACAGCACGGTCCGGGTATAATTTAAAAACATTAAAATAGACGAGGCCTGCAGGGCTCTGATGAGTAATATCTATATATGAGAGATTTACTGTTGATAACAAATGAATTTCGATTTATCCATTAAAAGAACAAAAAAATATATATATGTTGTATTCCATATTAAATCAACCAAAAAAAGTCGATTCTCAACCCGACTCCCTTCAATTTTTTTAAAAATTTGTATGTTTAACTAATAAAAATGTAAAATTTTACTTTTCAAATCGGCTTACTTCATGAGATATGGCCATCTTTAGAAACGCGAAAATTCCAAAATACAGTATATTTAATTTTAAATATCTCAAAAAGTAATTAAGCTGAAGGCATGATTTAAATTTTATTAAATAGCTCTAAAATAGCCCTTTAATATGGTATAAAAATTATTTTATTAATAAAAAGTCTATTACCAAAAACCGGAAATAGAAAACCGGAAATAGCTATAAAATAAAAATTGCTCTTTTTTTTTCTTTCAAATTTTTTTTACAAATAGACATTATACTTCTTAATATTTGTACAAAATTTTAGATTGGGACCATTACTGGGCCAATAGTTATTACGCTTTAAATATAAATAGCATGGCTTAAATCTTAAATTATACCAAATATGTAGTAATTTACGAAACAAATAAAAAGAAAATTCCTTTATGATCGGGCAGATTATATTTTTTTTATAAATGTTTCGGGCTGTGAGCCCACTAGTAGACATTATGTCATATTTAACAGAGAAGTTTAGCGATTTTATTTTAGAGAGAAAATAATTGTAAAAATATTTATAACTTTATTTAGCTAATTAATTATATTACATGAATATCAAATGGAAAATTAATATTGTTATAAACATATTAAATTAAATAATATCATACATTAAATTATCTAATGAATTAGAATAACGTTTGACTTTCATTTTTTCCATTAACTTTTATTGATATAAAATTATTCATACCTGGCATAAGTCTGCTGTTTTCGTCAGAATTATAAAATTCTATTACTTTATTTGCAATGTCATCCGGAATTATTCTACTTGGTTTTATGATATTTGGGTTTGACAAAACACCCTTTTCTTCAACTAATTGTTTAGCTGTCCGGGCCATAAAATTTGTGGTTGAAAATTCCTTTTCAATTTTATCAAGAGTCCAAGATTTTGGTAAAACTGTTAAAATTTGTATTTTTTCATTGCGAAAACTTGTAGCAAATTTTTCTTTCAGTTGATTTATGATTTCGGCTTCATCTTTTTTTGCTTGATCCTCTAGATTTATTTTAAAAACTTTTTTAATTTTTCCCTGAATTTTCAAAAATTTATTTACAGGATATTTTTTTTAATTTAACCTTTTCTTTTTAATAGGTGTCTCCCCTAAAAATGGCAAAGTTTCATTTAAAGTTGAAATTGAAGTATTAAAATCTGTATAAGAGTCGGGATTATTGCATGGTTGATCAGGTTCAGAATCGCTAAATGTTTCATTAATAGTTGAGGTAGAAGGTAAGTTAGAAATAGAAGGTAATGTGATCGGGATCGTAGAAGTAAAAGGTAAGATCAGATTTGTTGAATATTTTTTTAAATTTTTCCGACAAGAGCTACAAATTTTTTGATTAATTGATAAGCTAGAATTCACTTCTATCATCCATTGTAAAACATTTCTAAGATCGTAACGTACTGAATGAGATTTTATTCTAAAGGTATTACAGCACTTTACTGGAATAGAAATATCTTTTCTAGACATTTAAATTTTTTTGGTAAGGAATAAAAGATAGCTATTAATTTTATATAATTATTTTAGATTATAAATAAATTGGATAATGAATACCGATAATTTAATTTTCTTAGAAAAATGTCTTTATAAAATTAATCAATATAAATGACGGCTGTTGCTGTTGGAATTGAATTTGATTTTTATGATAATTATTTTATTTGATAATTAATTATAAGTAGAAAATAATCTTTATGAAAATATATTTCTGACGATCACAAAGATAATTTTTTATCCGGCAAAGAAAATAATCTATATAATTCACTCATAGAATTGCCAGGTCAAAAATCTCGAATTTAAGAAGAAATTTTTTTTTTTTGGGGGGGGGGAGGGGGGGCAAATATAAATCTTAAGATGGGGTAAGGATTTAAGTTTTAATACTATTATTCACAAATATTATCTCTTTAGTTAAAAAAATAATTACTCATTTCGTATAATATAGAATTTAAGCCATACTATTTATATTTAAAGCGTAATAACTATTGGCCCAGTAATGGTCCCAATCTAGGATTTTGTACAAATATTAAGATATATAATGTCTATTTGTTAAAAAATTTTGAAAGAAAAAAAGGGCAATTTTTATTTTATAACCATTTCCGGTTTTCTATTTCCAGTTTTTGGTAATAAAATTATTTTTAATATAATAAATTTTATATCATATTAAAGGGCTATTCTAGAGTTATTTAATAAAGTTTAAACTATACCTTTAGCTTAATTACTTTTTGAGATATTTAAAATTAAATATGGTGTATTTTGAACTTTTCGCGTTTCTAAAGATGGCCATATCTCATGAAGTAAGCTGAGTTGAGAATTAAAATTTTATATTATTGCTAGTTAGTGTATATACTACCATCATGCAAATTTTAAAAAAAATCGAAGAGGGTCGGGTTGAATCTTCAGTTGATTTGA